CAAAACTCTTAGAAGTGATCAAGGAATACAGCAGCATCTCAGGCTACAAAATCAACACTCAAAATTGGTAACCTTTATATATACCAACAATAGTCAAGGTAAAAAAAACAGTTAAGGACTCTATTCCATTCACAATAGTGCCAAAGAAGATGAAATATTTGGGAGTTTACCTAACAAAGGACGTGAAAGATCTCTATAAAGAGAACTATGAAACTCTAAGAAAAGAAATAGCTAAAAATGTTAACAAATGGAAAAGCATACCATGCTCATGGTTGGGAAGAATCAACATTGTTAAAATGTCAATACTACCCCAAACAATATACAATTTTAGTGCAATTCTTACTAAAGCTCCACTGTCATACTTTAAAGATCTCAAAAAAATAATACTTCATTTTATATGGAATCAGAAAAAACCTTGAAGAGCCAAGACATTACTCAAAAATAAAAACAAAGCAGGAGGAATCACGTTACTAGACCTCAGACAATACTATAAATCGATAGTGATCAAAACAGTATAGTACTGGCACAAAAACAGAGAGGTAGATGTATGGAACAGAATAGAGAACCAAGAGATGAACCCAGCTACTTACCGTTATTTGATCTTTGACAAGCCAATTAAAAACATTCAGTGGGGAAAAGATTCCCTATTTAACAAATGATGCTGGGTGAACTGGCTGGTGACCTGTAGAAGACTGAAAGTAGACCCACACCTTTCACCATTAACTAAGATAGACTCTCACTGAATTAAAGGTTTAAACTTAAGATATGAAACTATAAAAATACTAGAAGAGGGCGGTGCCTGTGGCTTAAAGGAGTAGGACACCGGCACCATACACTGCAGGTGGCAGGTTCAAAACCCAATCCCGGCCAAAAACTGCAAAAAAAGAAATACTAGAAGAAAGTGCAGGGAAAATTCTTGAAGAAATTGGCCTGAGGGAATATTTTATGAGGAGGACCCTCCCGGGCAATTGAAGCAGCATCAAAAATACACTACTGGGACCTGATCAAATTAAAAAGCTTCTGCACAGCCAAGAACACAGTAAGTAAAGCAAGCAGACAGCCCTAGAATGGGAGAAGATATTTGCAGGTTATGTCTCCAACAAAGGTTTAATAACCAGAATCCACAGAGAACTCAAACGTATTAGCAAGAAAAGAACAAATGATCCCGTCTCAGGGTGGGCAAGGGACTTGAAGAGAAACTTCTCCGAAGAAGACAGGTGCACGGCCTACAGACATATGAAAAAATGCTCATCATCCTTAATCATCAGAGAAATGCAAATCAGAACTACTTTGAGATATCATCTAACTCCGGTAAGATTAGCTCACATCACAAAATCCCAAAACCAGAGATGTTGGCATGGATGTGGAGAAAAGGGAACAATTCTACACTGCTCGTGGGAATGCAAACTAATACATTCCTTTTGGAAAGATGTTTGGAGAACACTTAGGAATCTAAAAATAGACCTGCCATTCGATCCCACAATTCCTCTACTATATCCAGAAGACCAAAAATCACATTATCACAGAGATATTTATACCAGAATGTTTATTGCAGCCCATAATTGCTAAGTCATGGAAGAAGCCCAAGTGCCTATCAACCCACGAATGGATTAATACATTGTGGTATATATACACCAGGAAATATTATGCAGCCTTAAAGAAAGATGGAGACTTTACCTCTTACATGTTTACATGGATGGAGCTGGAACATATTCTTCTTAGCAAAGTATCTCAAAAATGGAAGAAAAAGTATCCAATGTACTCAGTCTTACTATAAAACTAATTTATAGCTTTCTTATGAAAGCTATAACCCAATTATAGCCCAAAAACAAAGGGAAAGGGGAGAGGGAGGAGAAGGGAGCGGGTAGGATGGGTGGAGGGAGGGTAACTTGTGGGACCACACCTACAGTGCATCTTACAAGGGTACATGTGAAATTTACTAAATGTAGAATATAAATATCTTAACACAATAACTAAGAAAATGCCATGAAGTCTACATTAATCAGTTTGATGAAAATATTTCAAATTGTATATAAAACTAGTACATTGTAGCCCATGACTGCATTAATGTACACAGAGATGATTTAATTTAAAAATAAATATTAAAAAAATAAGAAATAAAATAAAAATAAAAGTGTTATAGACAAACAATTAGAACAAACTTGATAAAAAAAACAACTCCCTGCCATACAATTTTGCAGGGCATTTAATATGCTATGTATTGTGAATTCAGGGGGGATTTTTTTCTTTTTTCTTTTTTTTTTTTTTTTTGAGACACTCACTCTTTCAACCTGGGGTTGAGTGCCATAGTGTCATCATAGCTCACAGCAACCTCAAACTCTTGGTCTCAAGCAATCCTCATGCCTCAGCTTCCCAAGTGGCTGGAACTACAAGCACCCACCACAATAACACCCAGCTAATTTTTCTGTTTGTAGTAGAGACAGGGTCTTGCTGGTCTCTCCTAAAGACCTGAGGCTGGCCTCACAGTCCTGAGCTCAGGTGATCCACCTACCTCGGCCTAGGATTACAGATGTGAGTCACTTTGCCCTGCCTGTTTCCCTAAATCATTTGATCCCAGGATCTTTTATTTTTCTAATAGAGTCTCTGGTAGAACATTGGTCTTGTGGAATACACCCTGGGAACTGTTGGTATGACAGGAGACACACAAGATTTAGAACAAGGACATGGATTTGAATCACAACTCCACCATCTACTGTTCAGGCAAATTGCTTAGTTTCTATTAGCTTTATGTTCCTTCTCTATAAATTAAATACATAATACTCTAATTCTTTTTAAAGAGATAGGGTTTTCCTATGTTCCCCAGAGTGAACTAAAACTCCTGGGCTCCAGTGATCCTCCTGCCTCGGGCTCCCTAGCAGCTGGAACTATGGCCGTGCTCCCCTATGCCCAGCTGTAATACCTAGTTTGTTGATCCATTGGGTAATATCATAGCAGACAATAGCGGCAGCTACATCAGGGGTTAATGTGAGAATTCAATGATTTAAAGTATGTGCCAGTCACATAGTAAACTCTTAACAATTATTCATGTTATTTTATCATCCTCACACATCGGGCTGCAAAAAGCTCTTTCTCACATTTGAACCAGTTTCTCTCTGAATAAACGAGAAGATGCAAACTAATGAAGATTGTAACCCAGTCGTGAGGACTTGAGTAGCACATCTGGCCTGATCCACTGTGTAAGAAAGATGTGTGTAGGAGTGTGTCTAAATGTAAGTTTCCACAGCCTGTGTCACCACTGAAATGTCATGCCATGTTTGGTAAAATGCAGAGAACATTAGTTGGGGCTTCCAAATATGGCCCAGGAACAAATTCACTTCTGAGAAAAGTATAGGGCCAGGCCCAGAAGCATTTAATCTGTATGAGCAAGCATTTGGGACTCCTTCATTTGAAATTGTCTAGAAAGTCATTTTGATTGCATGTTAGAGTCACAGCTAACCCAGATTGAACAGTGCTATATTTTCCCTAAAATGTCAACATGGTGGGGGAGCTGCTTCGGACAACTCCAAGGAAACGACTGTGATATGATATCTGATTCCTGCTCAGTGCCGGATTCAATACTATAATCTTGGCTCGGCGCCTATAGCTCAACCGGCTAAGGCGCCAGCCACGTACACCTAAGGTGGCGGGTTCGAATCCCCAGCCTGGACCCGCCAAACAACAATGACGGCTGCAACCAAAAAATAGCCGGGCGTTGTGGCGGGCGCCTGTGGTCCCAGCTACTTGGGAGGCGGAGGCAGGAGACTCGCTTGAGCCCAGGAGTTGGAGGTTGCTGTGAGCTGTAATGCCATGGCACTCTGCCCAGGGGGACAGCTTGAGGCTCTGTCTCAAAAAAAAAAAAAAAAAAAAAAACAATACTATAATCTTGAACCTGTTGATTTGGAGCAATATGCATGATTAGGTAGTTTAATTGCATGTTGTAAAGGAAGCTATGACCTTTCCAGTCCCATGCTTCCATCCCGGATGTTGCACTGTGCTATTGGGAGGAGGAGGGAACAAACGCGTGTGGGGAAGCTTGACAATAGCCGTGTTCCTTTACATAATTACTCAAGTGTTTTCAATACTTTCAAAAGTCCTATAGACAATACCTCGGATTTTAGGGGACATCTTCTGCGTAAAGAAAATTTGGTAAAAATCAAGTTGCCTTGAGCAAGGATTCAGTAAGTTGTAAATGGTATAAATGGTGAGTGTGCAGCATCAACATATACAATTCTCTTATTTTTTTAGTTAGTTTGGTAAAGCTAAGTACAACATTAAAAGTTAAAGACATGATATTCTTGTCTATCAATGCATTAGCTATAAACATGATAGCTTAACAATGCCGTAACCATTTCATATGAAATAAAAAAATTAAGAACGTAATATAAATCCTGGCATAAGCAAGATGTTTTCCAATTTAAAAATTATTTGCATATTCACTCTTATGTTTAATTATGAGAAAAAGCAATACAAAAGACAAAGAGGGCAGCATTTTCCCAGTTTTACAATCGAAACAGCAAAGCAGAAATATTAAGTGATTTGCAGTAGTAAAGTTAGGACTTAAACCCAAGCCTCTTGACACCAAGCCATAGTTTTCCTCCTCTGGGGCATTATAAACCCTGAGGACAAGACCTGAAGTTTTGAAATACAAGCTAATTTTGCCAGAAAGCTGAATTTTTTTCTCTATAGCATATGTAGCCAAGATTCCCAAGAATGAAATGAGACAGGTTGGCCATCATTTGTTAAAAGTTACCTAAGGACTAGGCTGGACCTGTCTGCACAGGATGGAATGTATTAGAAGAGAAGCAATTACCCAGACAACCCAGACCTCGATCATTTTCACCTGAAAGGTCCTGATAATTGAAGCAAAAGGTACGGGTATGTTTGAAAGCTAAACTGTGAGTATAATTGACTTGATTGTTTCTGTATCTTTATATTTGAATGCAATCACAACACATAAAACCACTAGGCACTGATATTCTCTGTCCCAAAACATAAATTACCTCCAAAACAGCATCCTCTGGGTCCTTGGCTGCTGCTCTGTAAATGACTGTGCCCAGGGCAGTATCTTCCAGAATATAAATCTCAGTAACTGCCAGAAAATGTACAATAAACGTGCTTGAATGAGCTTCTCCACTACAGGCCCAAAACCCTTCATCCAATTTTAGATTTTAGATAAAACTTAAGACATTGTGCTTGCTCAGCACAGATTTTTTTATAGGCTGATTGCCATTAAACACATAATAAAGATAATAATAATAACAAACATCATTTATCAATTATGTCTTACATGTCAGGTAGAGAGCAAAGAGATTTATAAATTTAAACAACAATGTTGAACCTTTTTTTGAGTGCTTGTTAATCGCTAAGCACTTAACATCTTAAATGACTTTATTATTCTTTCCATTTTACTGAGGTTTACAAAGATTGAATATCTGGCTCAAGGTCACACAGCTATTATATCAATAGTACCTGATTATTTTATTAATATTTGTTTTCTCCCTAATTTTGCACTCTCCTCATGTGATTTTAAAACCGTGGGGAACACAAACTTGCAAATTTGTTGGTCAAACCCCTCTTCCAGGAATCAGGGATCCTGGGGCTGTGTGAGATGCCTGAGAGTCTAAAGAGAAGACCCACCAAGAGAGAAGCTGTTGCACCACTTTTTTTTTTTCTTTTTGAGACAGTCTCATTTTGTCACCCTTGGTAGAGTGCCGTGGTGTCATAGCTCACAACAACCTCAAACTCTTGGGCTCAAGTGATTGCCTCAGCCTCCCAAGTAGATGGGTCTTGTTCTGGTCTCAACCCCATGAGCTCAGGCAATCTACTCACCTTGGCCTCCCAGAGTGCTAGGATCATAGGTGTGAGCCACTGCGCCCAGCCTCTGCTGCACCATTTTGGCAAGGAGTTGGGACTTGTGGATAGCAAAAGAGGTTGGACTGTAGCCAGGGCACTGGCCTGCTGATCAAATAAGCTCACAAAGTTCCACAAGCTCTCTGGCACTGAGCTTACTGTCTTAGAAGTTAGAAGAGCATAATTTGACCTTGGATCTGGCCTGGGGGAGAATATCATCTGCTTGGAGAAGGAAGGGAAAGGAAGGAGCCTAACATTTATTGGCACTTACTATGTGCCTGGCACTTTAAAACATTTTATGCTTGGTCCCTTAAAACACTGTGTCAGGCCAGGTGTGGTGGCTCATGCCACTCTGGGAGGCCAAGGCAGGTGCATTGCTTGCACTTAGGAGTTGGGGACCAGCCTGAGCAAAACAAGACCCTGTCTCTACTAAAAAGAGAAAAACTAGCTAGGCGTTGTGGCAAGTGCCTGAGTGCCTACTCAGGAGACTGAGGTTAAGAGGATCGCTTTAGCCCAAGAGTTTGAGGTTGCTGTGAGCTATCATGACACCACAGCACTCAACTCCACCTCAAAAAAATAACAAATAAAAACACTATGTCAGGTAAGTTTCATCAGAAAGGGATTCATATCCCTATTTCATCAATGAGGAAACCAAGACTCAGACAAGGAACTCTTCCCAGTGAGTGGCAATCCCAATGTCTGAGCCTCAAATGTTTTTGTTTATAATAGAGAGCCATGTAAGTATTAAACATCTGACTATATTGAAAGAGAGACCAGAGTAAAAGAAAAAAATACATGCATGGTAAAAATAGAGTAAGAAGGAGAGAAAAATGAATGGTCCTTGTCCTCATGAAGCTTCTGGCTTCATAACACAGACACACCGTGTTATGAAATAATCATACAAATAAGAGAAAAGATTTTAGTATGCAAGAATCAAAACAAATACATAAATGATTCTCAACACTGAGCAAGTTACTTTCTGTTATCCATGCAATGGGACTAGGAGCAGAACCTATCTCTCTTCTAGTGCTGTGAGCTTTAAGTAAAGGCATCCAGTTAAATTTCCTGGGACAGTGCCCCATACATAGTGAGTGCCCAGCCTGTGTCAGCCATCTTTTCTTACTGTCATTATTACTATTCTCCTTATTTCTGTTATAACCATGATGCCTTGAGAGCACATAGAGCACAGGGCAGGTCTACGTATGTGTTGTGTCCACTGGAGCCTTCTTCCCCCAAGAAAAGAGTCTCTGTACCTTGGTCCCCCTGGGCAAGGGATCCAGTGAAGATGGGTGGCTCATTCACATCTGCAATTTGGATTAAAATGGTCTGTGATGCTGTTGCCCCTTGCTTGTCTTCGGCGTAGATTACCAGGGAATAGAGCGTCACCGTCTCAAAGTCCAACTTGGGTACTCCAGTGGTGAATAACTAAATTTTTTTTTAAAGTGCAGAATAATGGAATGAATGACTGGCTTCATAAGGATATAGACAGAGTATTTTAATCTGTAATTCCCAGTCTCAATCAACATTTTTTAAAAAGATATAAAATTTATGTACTTAAGATGTGGAAGCAAAGTTATTTGATTTATTAAAAAGAGTATATGAACAAAGGATTCACTTATATTGTATTAAATGATTTCTCCTTCATTTTTTCACCTTCCCATAATTCTTTCTATTTTTTTGTTAAATAATAGCAGGGTAAATTAATGCATTTATGGGGTACAATGTGCTGGGTTTATATACAATTTGAAATATTTACAACAAACTGGTTAACATAGCCTTCACCGCACTCTCTTAATTATTGTGTTAAGACATTTATACTCTACACTTAGTAGATTTGACATGTACCCTTGTAAAATGCACCATAGGTGTGGTCCCACCAATTACCCTCCCTCCACTCATCCTCCCCCCTCCCCTCTCCCTCCTCTTCCTGCTTCATCTTAGGCTGTAGCTGGGTTATAGCTTTCATATGGAAGTGTGGGTGATTATATATTGGTTTCATAGTAGAGCTGAGTACATTGGATACTTTTTCTTCCATTTTTGAGATACTTTGCTAAGAAGAATATGTTCCAGCTCTGTCCATGTAAACATAAAAGAGGTAAAGTCTCCATCTTTTCTTAAGGCTGCATAATATTCCATGGCATATATATACCACAATTTATTAATCCATTTATGAGTTGATGGGCACTTGGGTTGCTTCCATGACTTAGCAATTATGAATTAGGCTGCAATAAACATTCTGGTGCAAATGTCTTTGTTATAAAGTGATTTGGGGGCCTAGTAGAGGAATTGCAGGATCAAATAGCAGGTCTATTTTTAGATCCCTAAGTGATCTCCAAACTTCTTTCCAAAAGGAAAATACTAGTTTCCATTCCCACTAGCAGTGCAGAAGTGTTCCCTTTTCTCCACATCCATGCCAACATCTGTAGTTTTGGGATTTTGTTATGTGGACTACTCTTACTGGAGTTAGAGGGTATCTCAAAGTACTTTTGATTTGCATTTCTCATTGACTTGGGCTCCATGATTCTTTCTAATAGCAAAGTTCACCATTTATTGAGTCCCTCCTCCATTTTAATTTGCCAAGGTCTATTCTGAGCACTTTACAAATATCTCATTCTATCTTTGAAATTGCAAATGGGTGCTATTAATGGGTACATTTTACTGGTGTAGAAATTAAGCCTTGCAGAGGTTAAGCAGCTCAGCCAGTTTTCATGGATAGGAATACAAATGGCTCTGGACTCCACCTTGGTGCTCTTGATCATGAGTCTAAACTGCCTGTCACCGGAAATGGATAAAAGAACAAGATAAGAGTCCCTCCTATCCTTTGCCTGTTTAGTCGCTTCACATCTCCTATTCTTTTTTTCCTTCATGGTTTTCACACTGGTGTTTGAACTGTCCTATGTTCAGATACCTCCTGAAGTTGAACATGAAGAGAACTGGGTTTGGCCAGGTGCCTGTAATCCTAGCACTCTGGCAGGAGGATTGCTTGAGGCAAGTTTGAGACCAGACTGAGCAAGAGCCAGACCCTGTCTCTACAACAAAAGCAACAACAAAACATAAACAAAAAAAGAAAAATTAGCCTGGCAGGGTGGTGTACACCTGTAGTCACAAGTACTTGGGAGGCTGATGCAGGATATTCTCTTGAGCCCAGGAGTTTTAGGTTGCTGTGAGCTATAATGCTATAACACTCTACCCAGGGCAACAGAAAGAGACTCTATCAAAAAAAAAAAAAAAAAAAAGACAGAGAGAGAACTGGCTTACATTTTCATCTCCAGAATGAAATGGCTCCATGACTTTGGCCATAGTCTTTCAGGTCTCTGGCTTGGATGCCTTTATCTTTACACAAAAGACTTAAAAATTTTTTTGCTAATGTCCTTTCCATGTGTGACATGGAATGTTTAGTGGATGGTTGTTTCTAATGTTTTCTTTTTAGTAAAGTAACAGAAAACAGATTTTCTTGAATAGGAAAACCCACTGAAAAGAGTTGGATACTTGCCTCTGGATGTTCTTTGTCAAAGCATGAACCCCTTGTCTATGATGTTTATGGATTCTAAGGCAATACTAATAGCTTACATGTATTGAGCACTTAGTACATACCAATTATAAGTGTTTAAGACTAGTTACATCATTTAACCCTAAAAAAACCCAGTGTGATTGGTACTATTACCACACCCATTTAATAAATTAAAAGACAGAGCCATAGAGAGATTACCCAGTAAGGAATAGAGGCAGGACATGAATCCAGACTTTGACACCAAAGTCTGTGCTCTTACTCATATACTATGTGACTGATACAGCTGCCTTCTCATAAAGGAATCACTGACTCTCAGAAGAGCATGCTGTCATCTCACCATCTTGTACTAATAAGGGATGACATTTGTTAAGCATTTTCTTTGTGCCAGGCAATGTTCTCAGCTCTTTACCTCATTTAATTACCAACACAGGGTGGCACCTGTGGCTCAATGAGTAGGGCGCCAGCCCCATATAGGGAGGGTGGCGAGTTCGAACCCATCCCCAGCCAAACTGCAACAAAAAATAGCTGAGCACTGTGGCAGGTGCCTATAGTCCCAGCAACTCAGGAGGCTGAGGCAAGAGAATCACCTAAACCCAAGAGCTAGAGGTTGCTGTAAGCTGTCACGCCACAGCACTCTATCAAGGGTGACAAAGTGAGACTCTGACTCTTAAAAAAAAAAAATTACCAAAACAAGCCTGTAAGAGAAGTACTATTAGTATCCCTGTTTTACAGATGAGGAAACCAAAGCTTAGATTCCATAAGGTAACTAAGAAAGTCATGCTGCAAGAAAAGGCAGGACATGCCCCTTGCTGGCCTCGCACTGACCAGCACTTCCACTGACAGCAGTGCCTGGGTGTTAGTTTCACGATTCCAGGAAAAGCGCTATCCTCTACAGAGCAGTTGCCATAGGTTAGACACTTTATGTCTTCAATGCTCACAATTATCCCTTGGAATAAATGGATAAATACTACAGATGAGGAAACTGAGGCTTGGAAGTTAGACACTTCACCCGAGATAACACAGCAAGTAAGCAACAGAGCTGAGATTCAAAGCCAAGTCTTCCTGACTCTAAAACTCTATTCTTTTCATCATACCCTAATTCTGCCTAAGTTAATTTAATGCCATAGCCTGATGTTAAGATATATGAGGTTTTCTAGCTTTGATTAAGCACATCCTTGTCCTCAAGGAACACCCTTACCCATGGAGCACAACCTGGGGCTCGGACTGGGCCTTCTAGTGTGGTTGCCTCCACCCTGGGAGTCCCACAGGGGCAGCAAATGTGTCCATCTTATTCCCTAGCATCTCAGAGGGCTCCACATACATTTCAACAAATACTTACTGAATTAATGCAAATGTCCATTCTTTCCACTGTACATTGGAAGAAGACAAGAACATAGTTTATGTCCCCTTTTGGGAGATCATTCCCATTTAGGGAATAGGAAGAATACACAGAAAGGGTAACGGGTTCATTTTCCCATCCTGCCTATGAAACTCCCTTTATGTTGCTCAATGACAGGTAGCAATTTGCAGATGACATAACTGGAGTGTACCTTGTCTCATTTCCATTGATTTATCTATAATCGGTTCCCTTTAAGCTTTGCTATTGTTTGCTACTGATTCTCCAGGAGACTAATTTGGTGTTTGGTGATGGTTGTGGGTTTTCCTGTTGTTGTTCAACTGCCTGACCAGTCACCCCTCCTAAGCTCTATTGGTCTTTTACAAACCTAACGAGCATATACGCCCTAAGGATAATGATATGCTAAACTCCAAATAGAACAGTCTGTCTCCCGTTATGCTGCTCATCATGGAGACAGATATTAATTCATTGGTTTAGCCTTTATCTGCAGGTGTACTTCCATGCTGTGAAGCTGCTGCATAACTGAACTGCTTCTAAAGCTGTCTAAAGCTAGTCTATAATATGGTTATGATCATGTAGCCACATCTTTCTTATTTTTCTTTATCATCTGTAATCTAGCTATTATAATGCTGAATGTTGAAGTATATTTATTATAGTAACAGCTACTGTGTTGTAACTGCTTATTATGGACCAAGCAATAAGATGGCACTTTGCATACATTATCTCTTAGAATCTTCCTACTAATCCTTGAGAGAGGCAATATTATTATTATTATTATTAATATCTTTATATAGAGGGAAAAAAACATAGCACAGAAAAGTAAAACAACTCAGGCTGCCAGTAACTAGAAGAGCTGTGGTTGGAAAATGAGCTTATGACTCAGTGCCTGTAGCTCAAGTGGCTAGGGCGCCAGCCACATCTACCAGGCTGGCGGGTTCAAACCCAGCCCAGGCCTGCCAATTAACAATGGCAACTACAACAAAAAAAAAGCTGGGTGTTGTGGCAGGCGCCTGTAGTCCCAGCGGCTTGAGAAGCTAAGGCAAGAGAATTGCTTAAGCCCAAGAGTTTAAGGTTGCTGTGAGCTGTTATGCCACAGCCTTCTATGGAGGGAGACATAGAGAGACTCTGTCTCAAAATAAAAAAAATTAAATTAAAATTAAAAAAAAAGAAAAATGAGTTTATCAGGGCCTCGAGATCTGCTTAGAACAGTGATGCTCGCTCCCTCATGTACACACATGCATACACACAAGAAATAAGCAAAACTACTGAACCCACTTTGCTGCTGTTCAGATTTATAACAAAAATCTAATTATGAAATAGCATTTTACACCAAACTAGAGTTGGAAACAAATTGAAAAGTCAACAATAAGTTTTTTCTGTTGTTGTTGTTTTTGAGACAGATCCTTAAGCTGTCACCGTGAGTAGAGCGCCACGGTGTCACAGCTCACAACAATCTCCAACTCCTGGGCTTAAGTGATTCTCTTGCCTCAGTCTCCCAAATAGCTGGGACTACAGGTGCCCACCACAACACCTGACTGTTTTTTGGTTGTAGTTGTCATTGTTTGGCAGGCCCCGGCTGGATTCCAACCCACCACCTCTGTGTATGTGGCTGGTGCCTTAGCCGCTTGAGCTATAGGCGCCACCGGACAATAAGGTTTTGCAAGAATCTTCAAGAGCCTCCAAACAGACCTCCCTTGCCCCTCCATAACCTGTGCTCCTCACCACAGCTATTTAAACTGCAGGCAAATCTTGTCTCTTTTCTGTGTAACTCTGCGGAGGTTTCTTAGATGTAGCAGGTGGATTTAACGCCCCCAATTCTTTACGCTTTTCTGTATTCTGTCCTTTGCCATGTAACTTTGAAGTTCCTCCAACAAAAACAAGATATATTATATTTCTTCAGCCCATGGCTTAGATATGCAACTTGCCCTTCTTAATTTGTGGGATATGAGCAGATGTGGGTCCTCAAATGTGCTTGTGGGGGGGGGGGGAGGCCTCTTGCTGCCTCCTTTGCTCAGAGAAGAATGAGTCTCTGGAGCCAGTGTCCCAAGGAGAATGCAAGGCACAAGAGACAGACCTAAATGCAACCCACAGCATAGAGCTGAACCAGGCTAGATCAGCTAACCACACATTGCTCTTCAGAACTTTATTGTGATAAGTGTCAGAGAAAACAGGACAGGTGTCATGTTCACACTGGTCCCCGTCCTCTCAAGTCCCATAGGGGCAATGCAGCAGGGCCCAGGTAAATGCTGTGCACACGGAGGGTTTACATCATATTAACAGTTAAGGAATCCTAATCTTCGGGAACCTGAATCTCTTATAGTGAGCCATACATCTGCCTGAATTTTGCTCCAGAGAAGAAATTAGCTTTATTATACCTACGTGGTAAATTGAACTTCCTAATATGGCTCATAGATTCTGCAAGCTTTGCCCCCAAACTCCCTTGCAGTCTAATCACCCACCACCCATCCCTCTTAGCTCTTGTCATACTGATCTTTCAGTTCCTTCTCCTTGCAAGGCTTCTAGCCACAGAGCCCTTGCACATGCTGGCTCCATCTACCTAGAGCATTCTTCCCTCCTTCATTTTCTATTTTATTCCTATCCATTCTGCATACTGCTTTTCATGGAGATCTTCTTCGGAGAAGTCTGATTAGGTCAAATATCCCTTTGGTGCTCCTACAGATCTATGGGTGTTTCATGGCTCTTATTGCATTTACAATGTTGTGCTAATGTACGCATTCACTGCATTAATGTGTCTCCATATTAACCAGTAAATGCCATGAAAGCAAGGAATTAACCTGTGTCTGAGACAATCCTTAATAAATATCTGTAAAATAAATGGATCTTGATATGCCCAAGGCTTTTTTTTTTTTT